ATAGACAAAGGAGAGGAAGAGATATCACACAGTAATAACCCTTCAGATCCCTCTCCTTCTTCGGGCTTCTTTCCACATCACTTCATCAATGATAACAAGTATATTCTTGATCACACACAATAGTGCCACGTGGCACTTTATCTCATGAAGACCCTGAAGTCACAACAGATTTCCAGTGACGACGTCAACCACAGGTGAGTACCCGATTCTTATACACATCTAGATGTGTATAAGAGACAGGCAGTTGACCATGCAGTTGACCGTGCACTTGACCATGCCATTGACCATGCCATTGACCATGCAGTTGACCATGCAGTTGACCATGCAGTTGACCATGCAGTTGATCATGTAGTTAGTTGACCATGCAGTTGACCATGCAGTTGACCATGTAGTTAGTTGACCATGTATTTAGTTGACCATGCAGTTAGTTGGCCATGCAGTTGACCATGCAGTTGACCATGCAGTTGACCATGCAGTTGACTATGCAGTTGACCATGCAGTTGACCATGTAGTTAGTTGACCATGCGGTTGACTTTGACCAGCCATGCAGTTGCATCCATTGTAAGTAATTAGATAGCCCGAAAACTGCATCATGTGCCAATGTATATGCTGTAGACGCACACTTGATCACATGTGCATGGTTTGCCAGTTGACATGTATTATGTGCGTGTACAGAACACGTATACCTACGTAGTATGCACGTGCACACACGTACGTATTTATCTACACGCACACTTGATTACCTGTGTCTGTATCCGTGTGACACATCTGTATTATGTACATGTCAAAAATGATGTCACACATATAGCTGCATAGTCCATCTACAATACTATAAGAATCGCTATTTCTTATCTCACGGCCTGAAACGCAGGCCGAAAGCGTTACCGCGGACGGCCCAGATCGCAGGCCGATCAGAAAACTTTCTGATCGGCCTGCGATCCGGGCCGTCCGCGGCGCGTTACCGGCCTGCAATTCAGGCCGTGAGATATCGGTACCTGAGGCGCCCGTTCGCCTGCCCGTCGGCCCGTAATCGTGGC